TACTATCTTGTTATGTCATATATACACTGAAATATTGATTTAGAAGAAGTCATCCTTCTCACATTCCCACTGGAACGCCCGGTTTCGAGGTTTTTACTTTCTATCCCACTTATGATGAGTTCAAAGATTTCAAAGGTTACATCCAGAAGATAGAGGCTATTGGCGCACACCGTAGATCGGGGATTTGCAAGGTCAGCGCTTGGGTTTTTTTTATTGAAGGTCATCTCCTTTAATTTTGATGTTTCTCCATGTACTTTTGCTTTAGATTGTTCCACCGGACGGATGGTCTCCACGACCATCCAAGAAGAAGTTTAACTATAGAGATGAACAAGTAGAACATTTTTTGATTCAGAGGTAAAAAAGAGCAACACTTATTGTTAAGGAGGCAGAAATAGATTTGGAACGTTTTAGTCCCGTCAAAGAAACCATCCAACGTCAAAGTTTTGCGGTGCTGAAAACCAATAACGTTTACAAAAAAGCCATGACTGCTGGCGAGTTCCGTAAGTTGGCCACTAGTGCAAAATACCGTAATCCTCATCCGGAACTACAGGGAAAAGCTCTTGAAGAGTATGTTATATCAAGAATTGTGGTGTATATAGTTTTAGTTGAAAGAAGTGTGTGGCTTAATACCCAACGTTATTTCATTGCAGCTACTATTTCCAAACTATGGTGGATTCGCATCCCATCTATGGAGCTGACACTGAGGGTTCCTTTTATGATGAGAATGTAAATGAATTCAATATGAAGCGACTAGGCACTATCCTTGATGAGACAAAAGAACTTACTGGTGGAAAGGTCAGACATCCGACAAACCCATGTTTTGCTTATTTTTAAACATCACTCAGTCGTCGGTGCTATATCATATTATTCTGCTTCATAGGTTATAAGAGGAGTCACTTCTGTTTATCTTTACTTTGGCATGTATGGGGCATCCTTTGCTTGGCATGTTGAAGATATGGAACTGTACTCTATCAACTATCTTCATTACGGGGCGCCAAAAGTAATTTTCTCTCATAGAGAATGGTTTTTATATGTTGTTCGAAGCACGTTCTGCTCTCTTGTTTAGTACTGGTTTGCTGTACCTCCTGAAGCTTCCACGCGCTTCGAAAGGCTTATGCGGCAGCAGTTTCCTACCTACGATCGTCATTGTAAGGTAGTGTCTCTCTAGATCCTGTGAATTTTTTGCCTTATATTTGCTTTCAGGCTTTTATGAGGCACAAAAGTTTCTCTGTGCTTCCGGCTCTCTTGGACATACACAGAATTCCCTATGGAACAATGACGCAACATCCAAATGAGTTCATCATAACCTTTCCTCATGTAATTGCTATCTGATCCTTCGAGCTGATCTCGAAAGACTCCTCAGTTTTAAGGGCTATCATATGGGTTTCAATTTGGGATACAACATTGCGGAAAGCACGAATTTTGCGACTGATCGCTGGATCGACTTTGGAAAAAATGCTGTTCTGTGTAAATGCCGCTCAGACATGGTAGAAATAGATATGACGGTACAAATTTTCTTTTTATTGCGACTTCACATTACCAAGTTGCTCACTTTTTAGCCTTTCATGCAAAAATACCGTCGTGATGATTTTGAGAGATGGTATTCGTACTGGTATGTACCAAAAGCAACCCCCTGCTTTGACAGTGCGCAGTGCCGACGTATGT